AGAGGAAATTCATCTATCTCTGGCTATAAATGATTAGAGATGAATAGATTTCATTTGTTCAATAAGACTCAGAGTCTATCTACAGGGTATTCTCGCTGTTACTCATGTAAATGCTTGAGAATGTTGAATTAAATGATTTCCGTGAGTGCATCGAGCATATTTCTTCTATCCAATTAACACACTTGCGTGAAAAATTCTCAAGACCAGCGGCGGCGCGGCGTCTCTTCAATAGAGTCGAGCCGAGTCGAGTGCATATTTGTATGTGGGTTAAGCTTTTTGGGGTCTATTGCGCCATGCTGCCATTGGTGGTTTGGTGGTTAGTGGTTGGTGGTTGCGCCCGCGTCACTTAAGCGTTCAAATTATCCAATTAAAGCTGTGACGGTCAAGACACGCCACGCAGTCGTCAAACAGACGAGAGACAATAGAGAATGGAGCGGGCGCCCCTCTTCAGCGTTATTATTGTTATTACAGGTCTGTTTTATTTACATAAATCTTCATATGAGCATAGCTGAAAGCTGAAGACGGCCCGCCAAATCTACTCGAGCTATCAATGACTATGAAACAACGTCCGTAAACAGACAGGCACACACACACAGACACACAGACACACATATGCCCCACTGGGTGTTGGTCATTGTAAAAATTTGTGTTGCTCAGTAAAAATTGTAAGTTATGAGCTGACATTGGATGCAGCTACTTAAGCCAGGGCCAACTACTTCCGTCATAAACAACGATTTAAATTTGCGTATTGATCTGCGCCGTCTCCCCCGTCAGCCAGCTCCCCTCTCCCAATGTATTGTAATTGGTGAGCGGGCTGCCCACATGTTGCAATTTTAATATTGTTTACGATGAGTGGAAATTTATGGCGCACATTCCCGCAAGCACTTGATGGATTAGAAGCGCACCTGAGGATGCGGGCGGGGCCAATGTTTATGCCGCTGTCTAAAACAAATAAAAATATTTATACATATGAATATATACCTATATATATAGTGAGATCTTTGTTGTAGTTGGTGTTTCGATTGCCGCTTTTATTGAACTTGGGCAGGAGAAGCCACAGGTCGTTAAGCGAGAACAGTGTAAATATTTAGAAATCATACCGAGAGCTGCTAGCTGTGTGCATGCGCATGCCGTTTCCTAATTCTATCAATTGGTTAAACAACAATTAAAGTCAAATTATTCATGAATATTCGTTCTCAACTCTTTGCCGCAGCACGCGATATGGAATCCGACTCGGAGCCGTACGAGGAGCGTGAGCCTTCGCGCACCATTGTCAAGTTCTCGGAGGAGGTCCCGCAGGAGAAGGATACGCCGTTTGTGCGCCAGAACACGCCGCATCCCAAGGATCTCAAGGCGAAGGCGCAGAAACTCAAAGTGGAGCGCAGTCGGCACGAAGAGAACGCCAATTTGGTGACACTGCCAGAGGAGGTAAATGATACACGAAGATCAAGTGAACGGGTTCAAGGGTCGAGCCTATGCCTCTACTTCAGATGCCCCTAATTGTTATAAAAAAAAAAAAAAAAAAAAAAAAAAAAAAAAAGAAAATAACAACAACAATTTATACAATTAAGGTTCAGCTGAGGCAGCCTCGCTCTTGAATGAATTTCGAAACTTCTGACCTCGTTTTTATGGTAGTTTAATAAATTGTATTTTATTGATATTTTATTCTAATGAATTTCCTTACATATTATTTTTATTGTTATCTATTATTATTATTGCTATTATTTTTTATCGAAATTATTTCCGCATTTTATTTACTTTAATGATTTTTATTTGCCCATATTAACAGTATTATTAGTAATATTAATTGAGTATATTTAGCTACAGAAATTTATTATATATTCTGCAATTATAAATTATTCTTTTTTTCGCTATAAATTTATTTTTAATTTTATTAGTTCAATTATTTTATGCCTAAGTATGTTTTTACTCCCTACATACGTATTTTACTTTATTCTGCTGCATTAAATTAAATTGAATACTTTATGCTTATACTCTATTGCTTCCTTAACATTTGCTTACTTAAATTAATATTTATTTATAACAGAATGGCACCAAGTTAGTCGTGACAGAAACCCCAGTTGAGCCGCGCACTGTGGTCAATAATCAGCAACAGGTAGCCGTGACAGCAACCAATAACACAACTGCTGCACAGCCGGTGCAGAAACCAGCTGCGGTGGTGGTGAATTCGAAACCTGCTGCGGTCGGTGTCATTTCACCAACACAAACGGTTACAATTGCAGCAGCGCCACCAACCACACAGGGCGACTCTGGCTCAGCGAAGCTCAGAACCAACACCGGCAGCGACATGGCAGCAGCAACAGTTGCCGATGCCGCTGATGATGAAGATAACGATGAATATGTAAGTAGATTGAGAGTTTATATTTAGTTAATAACTTAATATTTTGTATACTTATCATTTCTACTCTTCTTCCAGGAAACTGACCGTCGTGTGGGCTTTCAGGTGGAGGGCGAAGACGATGACTTCTACAAGCGGCCGCCCAAGCTGCATAGACGGTAAGAATGATTAAGAAATGCATAGCGAAACACGTTGCCAATCCGTTTGCTTGTTTGCCTCCTCCAGCGATACGCCACATCATCTAAAGAACAAACGTGTGCAGCATTTGACCGATAAGCAGGCAAATGAAATTTTAGCCAATGCCCTGGCCTCCCAGGACCGCAATTCGCCGACGCCGCAGCACTCGCTGACCAATGTGCAGTCCCCCATCGAGGAGAACGCCGATGCTGAGCAATTCGAGCAGGAGCAACAGCAGCAGCAACCATTTGATGTATCGCTCTCCCCAATACCAGCTCCCAAGGCCGAAGCAGCAGGTAACTTATATTCAAACAATATTTAAAAAAAGAAACGGCTCTTCACAGCTTTGAAGGGGCTCCCTCAAATACCCCAGAAAGCAAGTGCAGGCTACGCCCCACAAATAATCAATAACCAATCGATACGCATGTCCAAGTCTTACAATATCTCAGCGTAGTTCCAATTTCGAGTACTTTTTAGTTATGCCTGCTTATACATTGCTAAAAGGGTCAAAGGGGAGCCCCCCCTTTATAGCATTATTGAAAAATATGTGTGCCCTAATTCAAGTCTCGGTCAACTATAGTTGTCATAATTACCATTTTTAAATTATAAATATATGTATATGCAGCTGATGATGTTTGTTGAAATATTAAATTGACTAAATAGATTTCTCTTAGAAGTCTTTTGTCTGTTTAGGTGCGAGAGAAAAGTATTAGAGAAGTGAAATTTACTTTCTACAATCTGCAATCTACAAAAAGAGCTATTTATAAATAGCCTCGAAGAATTCAACTGTTTGTAGTGTTAGTTGATCTTATCTTTTTGTTTAACCATCAACAATTCACAGTTGAAGCGAATGTCTCTTTCCTACTCTTTCTACCCCTGACTCATAAAACGATTTCATTTCATTTATTGTATATAATTATTCAAATTGGATTCATAGTGGAATTCTGGATATAAAACCCTTATATTTGGGCAAAACGAGGCTATCATTATATTATATTGAGCTATGATTCAATGATTTAATTTACAGAGATCATATAAGTTTCTAAATCAATTTTAAATCAAATTTTAAGCAGTATAAAATATTTTTAAAATTAGTATTTTATTCATTTTTAATTTAATATTTTGAATTTTTTTTTAATTATTATTTTTTATCATTATTACTATTATATTATTTAAATTATTTTACTGTTATTTTTAAAATTTGGTATATTTTTGTGTCTATTTTTATTTATTTTTTATAAGTATTATTATTATTATTTATTTTTTATTTTTTTATTTTTTATTATAAACTACATACTTGGGTCTACCTCAAGAGAACTCGATAGGGAACTATATCAATATAAACTTATAGAAATATCTATATATGCAAGGCAATAATAATATTGAAGTACGGGACCAAATGTCGTCATATTCTATCAAAGTAAAAATTTGAAAAACGCGATAAAAATCTATCCCCCTGAAAAAAATCCCTTCTTGATAATTCTCAATAATTATAATTTCCGTGTAAATCGAAGAAAAAACTAAGCCCCTTGCCAATTTGAAATATCGGGACTCGGCAGTCTTATATATATTTACATAGAAAATGAAATGTAGATATCCACATAACAATGAATTCGAGTCAAGTCGCACCTCTTACATCATCTTAGGTCAGTTCTGGCTGTATTCAAGCGCGCTAACTGAAATCAGTTCAAGACTTGCCCGAGTACCAATTCGAGTTGAGTGCGACAGCAAAGATTTCATTATCTCGCAGGCCCATTAAAAGAGCGTTACGATACAAAATAGAGTTTGGGAGGCAAAGATGTGCGCAACAGGTAAACAAGCGCTGGAAATTCGGTCTATAAATACACAGACACGCAACTCCAATAATTAGGGCCAGTACAGCGCCTATATATAGGGCCTGGGGGCTATCGGCTTGCGCTATCTGTTTGTTGGCTTGCAAAAGCTGATAAAACACACATGTGGGGCGGCAAAGGGGCGGGGTAGATAACTACAGCAGCAACCTCAGTGTGAGCACTCACAAAGCCGATGCAGGGGGGCAGAGGGAAAGATTAAAGAGGCAAATGAGCAGAGCGAAAAAGAGCGAGAGCTATGAAGAGCGCAACAAGTTGAGAAAGTGTAAAAAATGAAATAAATAAAAAACACGGAGAACTGAAAACTGAAGCTGAAATGAGCCGCCTCATTATGGCAAATGTCGAGTAGCTACCTGTGTGTGTGTGTGTGTGTGTGTGTGAACTGTGAGTACACAGACAGAGAGAGAGGCAGAAAGAAAGAAAGAGAGCTGAGGAGGGCAACCGAAAGAGAGAGGGAGAGAGGGAGACAGAGAGTGAGTGAGTGCAATTGGCAGTCTGCCTCTGGGTCTGGGTCTCGACACTTTGCCCATTTGCCGCCGACTTTAGTCATTTTTTAGTAACGCTGGCGTTTTGTCAACATCGCGAGAGCGCGCGCTATATATATCGCGTTTGTCTTGAGTTCCATACAAATAGCATTTACTATTATTTGTTTATCATTATTAACGCCTGCTGAGTAGACACACACAGAAGCAAGCAAAGACACACACACACGCACTCGCCCACTTGGGAGCCAAAACAATGGCAATAATAACATTGAAGTCAAAAACTTCACATACCTTGGCTTAGTCAGAGGCCCGAAAACGAAAAATAAAAACAGTTGTATGTTAAATATACATACATAAATGCTTATATATGTATATATGCATATATACATTGCACTTTGCAAGCGAGTGTGAATTGCTGTTGCTGTTTATCGATTGAGCTGCGGCTACCTGGCCACTGATTAGACACTTGTTGTCGGCTTGCATCGCGTATACGCAGCGTTAGCCCAAATTGAATTTCAAGTGTAAATATGCAGAGTGTAAGGCGCTGGCGCTGGCGCTTGTGGCAAGGTCGATTTAGCTGCTCAAGGTTAGAGCGTGGCACATGAGCTGCTCGCTGGCTGCCTTGGAGCCTCAGCAGCTTCCGCTATTTGCATTTTGGCTGCAATGCAATACGCAGAAAAAAGAGAGCGAGCTTGAAAGGAAATTTTGTATGTTGTTTATATAGTCACAGACTTCTATCTAGCTCTAGCCCCTACCACCCACCCTCTCTCTCTCTTTCTTTATATACATATATTTGCACATGACAAATATACCAAGTTTATCTCCTTTTGCATACTTGTGTGGCTGTGTGTGTGTGTGTGTGTAGTGTGCATATCCGGTTTACTGGCTGCTCGTTGCCTTCCTTCCTCTTGCTTTTTATTTTTTGGTTAGCTGCCTCACAAGCACAATCAACATTTGCTCAGTACCTTTTAGCATTGCTTTGGCAAACAATACGCTGCATTTGCCATCAGTTCGCATTGTGATTTCTTAAAGTGTGCTGCTGCCGCTTAACCTCCAGCCACACTCAGTACTCGAGTTGGCCAATAAATAAACCGAAACCGTTGATAAGCCCAAAGCAATGCAATTGATTTTATGTATTGTATTGCTGATTGCACGCTGCGCCCTTATTGAATTTCTGCACAGTGCGTGTTTGCTTTGTTTGTTTGCTAAAATGCCCTTTTTCTATGTCAAAACACTCTTCTTGGATTATTATTTGTTGCTCACGTTGTTGTTGTTGCTGCCGCTGCTGCTGCTCCTGCTGCAGGCAACAATTGAAACTATCGGCATTTTGATGGATATTTCATTATCGAATCGTTTACTAGTTCTTTCTTCATATTTTCAATGGCTTAAGCGGTTTCGTTTTGTGAGTTTTGTCAGTCAGTCAGCTCTCCTTGCCCTCGGCTTCGATAATTCGACATTTCGCGCACTCAAATTAAACACGAAAAATGCAATAAATGCCAGTTAAGAAAAATATGGCTTAGAAAAAAAAGAGAAGAAAAAGAAACCGACAGGAACAGCGGGCGGCAGGCGGCAGGCGGCGTGTGCGGAAGCGAGAATGGTTATGTCACACGATTTTGCATTACATTCAAAGCGAGAAAATATTGCAAATCCGCGAAATACTAGAAGCCTTATTGCTACAGGCTGAGCAAAGTAGAGAGAGAAGAGGGAAGAGGGAGGGTTGTTTGACTTGACGTGTGAATAGGCAACATGTCAGCGAGCAAATAATATTCGCTCTGTGCTAACAGCGATCGCAAGTCAAAAGCCGTTTGAATACGCTTTACGATTCGTTAGTGTTGCAAGATATTAAATCAATTCTCGAATATCTATTTCTTAATAAACTACCACTGCTATTGCACGATAGTTGCTTGAATTTTCAGCCCAATCGGTTTCAATTTCATGTGCTATAAGCATCCGCTTAATTTTGTATTCTTTTTTCTGTTCCATCCATTTCAAATTCGAAATCAAACTTCAAACTGTCAATCAGCCAAAAAAGAGCAGAAAAAGTGAAACTAATTAAAATCCATTTTCATTTTTTTCTCTATTTCTGCATGCAGTTTATATCAAGCATTCATTTTTTCCCTCTATTTCTGCATGCAGTTTCAATAGCACGTTCAATTAAATTGAAGGCTATTAGCTTGTATCAACTTTTTTCGGCTTAAATCAGTTAAAATTTCAAGTGTGCACACTCAAAGCAGTTTGTAGTATTTATTACACTCCTACTTCATTCAGAAACAGTTGTCAGGCTTGCGAATAATGCGTTAAATTGAACAGGAAATTAATGGACTTATGATGTCATCGCTTAACCTATTACACACGCTTACCCACACCCATGCTCGCACTCACACACCTGCAGCAGTTCTGTGAGTGTGTGCATTGGACTTCATTTCTTCATGCCATAATATCAATTTCAGTTGTCCGTCGCACCGTAATCATTGATAAGCCGATGGCGTAGGGGCCCCTTACTCAAAATTACGCATACGACAGGTGGACCAAGGTCATTAACTAACGCTTGACTTTGGGCTGGTGTAATGTTGGTGCCGTAGCCGTACGCTGTCCCAAATATGTCGTAATGATTCAGTTTTCCAATTCTCGCTGCGTTATCGCAGACCCCAATTTCATTTCCAGAGTTGTGCCGTGCGTCGCGTCGCGTCAGCGCTGTTTGTTTCTGTTTATATTTTGTGATTCTCTTACTGCTGCCTTTATGCGCTTATCAGCGTGGCTTTAGGCATTCCAAAGTTATTGTTGTCATACCTGTATACGGCCACCCGATTAGATATGAACGAGCGCACCCCTTCTCCGGCCGATTCATTTCAAAATACGTAGAACGCTTTAGCACCTATCAAAAAGTTACACACAAAGATATGTTTTGTTTTTCTTATACGCCTAGAAGGGCTCGTTCGATTCGATGATGAAATGTGTAACTCATGTCAGAATATATGTATATGTAGCTAGCCCGTATCGCGAGTCGTCGTCTGTTGTTCATCTGTCGAACCCATAAATTTGGAATGAAAATATGGCAAATAAAAATTTAACTCCGCAAACTTTTTCATTCTTTGGCCAAAACAAAATTCGGCGTTTGCTATTAAAGCATCCACGCTTTGCGGTGCTGCAGATAACCAAGTGCAACTTTTTGCCTTGCTTTGTGACAATAAGTCAACGTTTTTATGCCACAACAAAAATTGTGATTCATTAGTTTGTGGCACCGCATTTAAAGCGTCGCTCGACTGCTTGTGCCCGCTGGATTTTGATAGCCATACACTCACAATTTGTCAAGAGCTCCCGCAACATGGCCGGCAATTTATCACGAGCGCTGCAGGCCGAGCCGTGCCACATGAAATTTGAAATTTCACGGCCGGGCACGGGGCGCAGTCAGCTCACGTGCTCATCGAAAGCTCTTTAAGTGCAATTAGGCACTTGATCTTTTGCTATTAGCCTTAAAAAAAAAAAAAAAAACGAAATGAACAGAAAATCGAAAGCCAAATAGAATACAATTAAGGCGTTTACGCTTGCGGTCATTGGCATTGGGTATATAAGGGCCTGTGGATCAATTGACAGTAGTCAGAATATAAATGAAAATTCAATTGTGGGGGAGACAAGTGCCCGGCTCTTCGGCTGCCATAAGTCTGTGACATGCGTCCATTAAATTTGCATAAAGAAAATGTTTTCTCAAGTTTTCCCAGCAAGTTCGGCTTGTGTCATAAAGAGAATATGTCAATGGTCCGCCAGAAGCAACAGAAATAATGCGAGCATTTCAACAGGCAAACTCTGAGGCATGCGGGTCGGCTAGCTCTGAACTTGGACTCAAGTCGGAGACGTGTGTCCGGCTGTCCAGCTGCCTGGCTGCCTGGCTGCCCGGCTGTCAATGGCCGGAGAGAGGACATGCACGACATGGCTGGACACAAAGCCTGTCCTACATGTGAAATATGAGTTTTGCATCTGAGCTGGAGGCCAGGCGCCAGGCACTAGGGGCAACCGACGCAGATCTAGTAACTCCCTGGGTTTCTGACATGTGGTCCACACACACACTCACACACATACACACTCACACACACACGTGTGCCTTGACATTCAGACTCCAGGCCAGGTCATTTACATATAAATAAGCAAAACGCGTCACAGTCGTCGTCACATCGCATTGATTTGGCATTTGCCAGCTGTATTTCACGTAGGCCGAGACGAACATTTTCTCATATTCAAAATGCGTTCGGGGAAATCGCGCTCTGTTGCTGTTTAGAGTTTTTCCCAGCAGCGCTTTTAATGAGTTTCACCCGCGCATTTTATGAGCTGCTCCATTTGGTTCTCTTTACTTGTTCTTCTCATTTTTTTAATATTTTTTTTTGGGTGCATTTAAATTCATGCTCCCCTCAGTGCCTGCCTCTCGTTTATTTATTCGGCCCGCCTCTCCTCTACGCACTTCATTGAGCGCAACGGTCGCTGAGCATCTCTAAAATACTTATACCTAAATGCACACTCGAATGTATGAAGAGCGTCGTAAAATTTTCAAATGTTTATTTGAGTGCGTGGAAATGGCAACTGCTCCACACGCTAACATGTGTGCGGACCAAATACTTGGGCTACGCACAAAAACTCAACTCTTGAGAGTTTGCGAGAGATTCGAAAGGGGAATGGGAGGTTTCATGTCAGTCAATGTCCACGTGTTGAATATGCAGCTGCTTTAAGGCAAAAGTATACTTAAGCTCTACGATTCTCTTTCGTAACTATTATAATTTACTTGTCTTTCATATGGAATCATATATCTCTTGGAGTAGCCCAAGGCTTGCAGATATACAATCAGCACAAATAAGCCCGAAACATGGCAACCAGCTTTGCACTTGTTGCCTACTTATTGGCACACACACACACAGTCAATTCGTATTACCAGACTTGAGTTAGCCAAAGCCAGTCGAATATATTTTCGTTATTTCTTTGCTAGTTTATGTTTCTGCTTGCGAATTAAATATTTCTCAGAAAAAATGCGATGAGCGTATTGAATTGAATTTGACTCCAAAAGTGTCCACTAATGAGATATTATAAAGAATAATATATTAGATTATAAATATATATATATGAAAATTTGCTGCAATCTCTGCTCTCTTTAAAAATATTGGACTTAATCAACTGTTTTAATGTATGTATATAAATCCATATATATTAAAATGATTCCTTTACTCTGTAGCAGCAAGAGTATTT